CATTTGCTGGCACACTCAGTACCGTGGTCTGAGTGCCTCGTATACCTGCAATAGCCTGGAATCCAAAAAAATGTTCTAACACAATTCTTATAATATTCTTGAATTCTGAATGCACTTCTAACCCGAACACTCAAAAATCAATTAAAAGCGAAAGATTCTTTACACACCCATTAGCTATTATCAATGTACAATGAACAGAGTGCAACTTGCTTCTCATCAAAAAGTTCAGTTACAAACAACTTAAAGAACTAAATTAGTAGCATTTTCTCTACTAATTAAATATATGAAGCAGTTCTTCATAAGATGCTAGCAGTAACAAGGATAGTAAAGAAATTTCTGGATTTTTATGGAACCCAGAAGTTCATTACCATGTTCATAAGGGCACAGAGTTGGTCCCCATCTGGAACCAGCTGAACCAGTTCACATTAACATGCTCTGCTTCTCCATGATCAACTCATATTAATCTCCAACATGCCTAGGTCACCCAGGTGACCTCTTACCTTCAGGTTTTCCTACTAAAAATTTTGTATGCACTTTTCAGATACTGTGTTGTAGATCCTGGTCATCTCATCCTCTTTGATTTTTTATGCTAATAATATATGGCGAAGAATTTAACTTATGAGGCTCTTATGAAGTTATTATACCATTTTTTCCAGTTCATCTTCTTCAGATCACACGCAAAGGTTATGTCACCATAACTCACTCACCAAAGCCTCATCTGTAAAAACAGGTCTATATGAAGATGGGTCTGGTTTAAAACGGTATGAGAAGCTCTAAGAGACAGCTCACAATGACCAAAAAACTGAACAAATTCTTGCTACGTGTAAATGTTATTCATTGGTAGCTCCAATCTCCACATAAAGTAAAACTGTCCTATTATATGGCATCTAGGTGCTTGGGAGGAGAGGAGGTATAGCTCCTACTCATTCTTAACCTAGGCACTAGATGGGGTGAGTGGTGAGCATCACACACTGGCAGTACTTTACCCCTAGGAAAGAACCCCAGTACCCAACGGATAGAAGGCTGGGTGGGCCCCAGAGCCAGTCTGAAAGCAGAGGCTAGGGGAAAAAAATCTTCTGCCCGTTGGGGATCAAACCCCAGTCATCAAGTCCGTAACCAGTCACTATACTTACTGTGCGATGATGGCTCAATCTCCATGCAACTGTAAATTATATTAAAGGGGATGGATGTATCTCTCAAGGTCTACCCTTCAATGCCCTTACCTTCACATGAAAAGTGATTTTACAAACGAGGCTCTGGCACCTCAGTTTTGTCAACATAACCTAATCACCCATTGTGAAGGAAATATTATTACCTAATTACAGAAAAATAAGTCACAGAATAAACTATGTATTACATCTAGTATGGAGGAAATATCAGTACCAGGAATTAGTCACAGTACTCTTCTGGATTACTTCTTACAAGTTTTGGTTACATATATTTAAAATTAAGGTAATATAAGTGAAAATTAAGTGTAAAACTTTTTATACTGGACTTACATTGTTAAGCACATGCCTGATACTTGTTTATCATATATTTTTAATTGTCTTGCTTCTGTTATTATGGTACTGTTCTTTTGCTTTTTATACACCTTGTTCCACAACCTGATCTGGGAACCAGAGAATGCATAAAAGGTAATCTAATCTAACGTGAAGTATATATTAAAAAAAAAAGCTACTGAGTCAACTTTAATAACAAACTCATTTAAGTTCCTTGTCCCCAACCACACACAATTTACCCTCTCCGAGTAAAGGAGTTTCTACATTATGTTTAGAATTAATCTGTTTACAACTTGCATGACAGTATTCTAATCACACACATAACATTTTCTTTCAGTACACATGTATGAACACTAATTTATGCATCCTTATTTTATGCATGCACACACACATGCATTTGCTTTTCATCTTATGTATTCTACATTTACTTGCCAGTTTTCCACATATACACAGTTCAATTCTTGTAAAAATGACAAGAAAGAAAGCTAAAGCACTAAATATAAGAAGAAGTTTCAATTCTCTCAAATTCTGAAACTTGTTCACTGACCAAATATCAAAGTAAGCTTTGTTGATGTCCTTCCATGTTCACCTCCAATAAACTCTAATAAACAACAAACTTACAATTACTAACCAATGCTCAAAACTTTTCTTGGTGTGTAACACAACTAATGTGTAAATTGGGATCTGTATATTCAACCATCTATCTACCCAGTCTAAGCAAACAACTATAGTATTGGATCTAACTTACCCACTGAATGGGACTTGCTGGCTTTCTCTTCCATATATGCGGACTGTTGAAAATACCACGTGACCCCTATGAAAAATAAATTTAACAGAATTAGTAGACCTAATAAAATCTCCCTTTCTCTTGCTACCATCACATAAAGAGGTTAGGCTCAAAATATGTGAAGTAGCTAGTCTGCTATTTAGAAATGGTCATCCAATTTGTGGGTTAGGCTACAAGAAAACTTTTGCCAAATGTGAGCCCACACTCTCACTAAACCATATAGAGGAGCATAGATTGTAACTCCCTTATCCTCTTCCTTTGGTCTTTAAAACCAAATTGTTCACTTCCAAGACATTGAGTTTAATAAATCACTCTTATACATTACTTTCTCAAATGTTTTAGCTGATACTAATAAAATTGGTATGTAGTTAAACATGCAAAAATTTTTACCTTTCTTATAAAGAGGTTTACCTTTTGAATATATGTCATTCTGGGAAAACTTCTACTACCACTAACTGATTGCAAAGATAACAATAACGTAGTCTGCACAGCTTTTGAGTAAAGTTATTTCATCATTACCAAATGAATTTTTTTGATTTGAAAGTGTTTCACCAGGTACTTCGTTGGGTTCAATTCCTGATAGGGGCATAGGATTTTTCCTCCAACCTCTGTATACAGACCAACTCTGGTTGCCACCCAGTCTGCTGTCCAGTGGATACCAGGATCCATTCCTGAGGGTAAAGCACGGCCGGGACGTGATGCTGACCACTCACCCCTATCTATTGCCCAGATTAAGAATGAGTAGGAGCTGTACCACGTCTTCCCTCAAGCGCCTACATTGTATAGCAGGGTAGCTTTACTTTACTTTTTACTTTGTTGCCTCTTCTGTTGTTATGGTTGTAGCATCATTTCTCATTCTTTCTACAATAGTTAAGAAGTACTGAAATGATGCGCTAAGAAGTTTGGATTTGTTATTGCACAATCATATAACTTTATTAATGGGGTCACTACTTCAGTAAGAATATTTCCATTTCCTTTTTTGTCATTTTCCAGACTACTTTTATTATTTGACTCTAGTATCTGTTTATTGTAATGCATACGTTTAGCCTTTTTAATGACTTTAGTATCTTGCAAAATCTCCTGTAGTAAATTTTCATTACTTGGTTAACTGTATTATACTCTGTAAGACTTGAGGTTCTCACAGAAGTGAGTATGAAGATTTCACCCTGATGACGGAGGCAGTATGACCTCTGAAACGTTGGTTAACATCAACCAGACTACACAGCGCAACAACAACCCAGAAGACGGAAATCTGTATAATACTCGCCTGAACAACGGTGACATTGACATATCTCCTTACATTCAGCAGAAACGAGCTTGTAAAACAGTATCTTGACAAACAAGACATTTCAACCACGAATTTGTTCAAGAATGTAATTAATGAGACCCTTATATATCAAAAGCCAAAGTGCATTAATTCTGGTATTACATTTATTATTGCTTATTCTATAACTCCACTGAACTAGTCAAACCACAGCATGCCATAGGCGCACATGCACAACTTCACGTTGTGGGGATGACGTTCGACCACTCTTCCTTCAATAATGCCAACATGGTAAATTATAAAGCTGAGATGAAGTTTTCTTCACGGATGGTTACAATTGTGCCGACTTTGATGTTGTACAGTCTCGCAAGAGAATTAATGGACTGACGTCTATTCTAACAAATGGAGATACTGGTATAGTGCTCATACTCTTAATACGTTTCGCGTCTGTCATTTTATGCCATGAAGATTGTTCGGAAGCGCAGAGTTGAGACCGCGCAACCTCGTGTAATAATTAGCATCTGATTTGCGGAATCCAATTCCATTCAACAAATATCTTTCACATGCAGCCAAACATTAAATACAGTCAATGTTGTTGAAGCTGGCAATTCTCAATTTTCCATGCTTTTATCACACACTAATTTATGCCAGTGATCTGTTCTCAAGCATTTTCAGATGCTGACTACTTTACATTTAGGCATCTCAACTTTATTTACTACATTAACTCTTCCTCAGTCAGTATAGTGACTAGCTACGGACTGGGCGACCGGGGTTCCATCCCCGACAGGGGCAGAGGATTTTTCCTCTAGCCTCTGCGTCCAGACCGGCTCTGGGGCCCACCCAGCCTCCTATCCAATGGGTACCGGGGGTAAAGCTGGCCGGAGCGTGATGCTGACCACTCACCCCCATCTAGTGCTGAGGTCAAGAATGAGTAGGAGCTATACCTCCACTCCCCCCAAGCGCCTACATGGCGTATAGTGGGACAGCTTTACTTTTTACTGTCCAGCTTTCATGATATTTTTGACATCCTGAACTCCTTCACTGGTTGCAGAACAACTATTAAAGGTCTCATCCAAACACCTACTAAGATGGGTTTAACAGAGTTTTCTGCACAGCCAAAACACATCTGACATCATAAATTATTTATACTGTATATGGGTTTAAGTATGAAATAAATGCCACATTTAAGTCTGTATTTACCATTTCAACTACATGGAAAAATGAACTGTAATGAAATACACACAAAATTAGATTTCTTACCAATATTACTGACATTCAGCTAAAGATACAAGGATTACATTTACTACATGAGAAATGTTTGTCTACAGAAACAGTTTAAAAATATATAAGCAAACACACATCTATATCTACAGTGCTTCCACGGACAAAGTTCACTGCAACTGTCACTTCTCAGCTT